CGTTTTCAGAAACGCTGGAGAAGGTGATTGCCCTGGTGGCTGCGAGTGCATCTCAGTCGGAGTGCTGGCCTGGTGTCCAGCTGGGCCTCCAGCCCGGATCCAGTTTTCTGCCTGGGCAGAACCAGGGGAGGGGGCACAGGGCAGTGACCGAGCACTTGGGTTCGCACCTTTCATGTGGGAGGCCATGGCAGTGTGTGCCCAGATCCAGGCTGTGGCCCCAGCCCTGGCCACTGCGCACATCTGGGAATGAACCCATGGGTGGAACTCGCTCTGTATCTGCCTGTCAGATACATAATGGAAAACGAAAGGCTGTGAGCTTGCCATGACATGAAGCAGACCCCATGGCATGGTGGATGTTGGCTGCTGGCCGGGGTGGGCTGTGAACGCCCAGGGAGAGGGCAGGTGGGACAAATGGGGCTCCCATCTCCAGCTGTGGGAGGAAGAGGGGAGGGTGTTGTCCTGTGGTGGAGCTGGGCTGCACTGTGGTGTAGGGGCCAGCGGGATCCAGTGAGGCATCCCCAGGGAGCCAGCGGGGGCCAGCAAGGCGTCCCCATGGAGCCAGCGGGGGCCAGTGAGGCGTCCCCATGGAGCCAGTGGGGGCCAGCAAGGCGTCCCCATGGAGCCAGTGGGGGCCAGCAAGGCGTCCCCATGGAGCCAGTGGGGGCCAGCAAGGCGTCCCCATGGAGCCAGTGGGGGCCAGCAAGGCGTCCCCATGGAGCCAGTGGGGGCCAGCAAGGCGTCCCCATGGAGCCAGTGGGGGCCAGCAAGGCGTCCCCAGGGGGCCAGCGGGGGCCAACGGGGGCCTGTGAGGCATCCCCAGGGAGCCAGCCTGGTTGGTGGAGCTGGGCTGCACTGTGGTGTAGGGGTCAGCAGGGGCCTGCGAGGCATCCCTAGGGAGCCAGTGGGGGCCAGCGGGGCCAGTGAGGCGTCCCCAGGGAGCCAGCTGGCTGCCTGCCCTGGTGGCTTTGCTGTTTTACACACATGTGCTTTGGCCAATGGTGCCTCAGCTGCTGCTACTCTAGGGCACTGGTTAAACACCCACCAACTTGCCCACCGCCCTGCTGTCTTCACCGGGCCCCGTGGTCATGGGGTCACCGGCCTCTGAGCTTGCCCTGGGTACTCTGGGAGCACTCACCTGACCATGGCTGGACCCGACAGCTCCCTGAACGCTTCCGCAAGGGAAGGAAGTCAGCTGTCTGCCAGGGGACACCGACGCCTTGGAGCTGGGTTCCTGATGGAATCCCTCTGGGGAGCTCGGCTTGGGCAGGACCCAAGGATAGAGTCCAGGACACACGTCCCTTTGCTCTCAGGCCCAGGCTGGGGGAGGGAGGCAGCCTGAGCAGGTGGGGGGCTCTCAGCACACCTGCTTCTGTGCGAGCTTTCTGGGGGTTTTCATAGGTCACCTTCTGGCCTCTGCTGACGCAGGCCCCTTGGGACCAGGGCCTGCTGTCACAGCAACCCCAGGAGGGCCATGGCAGTTCAGGCAGGCCCAGCGCAGCCCTCAGGCAGCCTGGGACGGGGTTGGGGTCTCACTGGGTGAGACAGGCACAGGTGGCGGATGCTGAGGTGTCGAGTGAAAGCTTGGCCTAGGTGCTGTAAATGCAGGCCCGGGGTTTGCTGTGCTCTGGAGAGGGGGCTTTGTAAGGCAGGAACAGGTGCCGGAGTGGGCTGCCGGGTGAGGCCACATCATGTCCAGAGCTGAGCCCCGGGGCCTCCAGGATCCAAACCTGGCCAGGGAGAACTGGTTCTGGATGCTGTGGGAATATACGGCAGCGGGTGGCGCTGTGTGTGCCTTCAGGACCAGGGGCAGCTGGGGAGCACTGGTGCGTGACCCTAGGCTTGGGGCCCCAGAACCCGCTGTGGCTCCGCCCTGCCTCCCCAGGGGCCAGGGTGGTGGGAGCGTATTCACCAAGGATGAGTAGGTCCTGCGTAGTCCCCGGGAGTCCCCAGGGCGTTGCTTAGCAGCGGGGCCCCGTCCCATGGGAGTGCTGGGGGATGAGGGTGCGCCCCGGGGAATTGTGAGAGGGGCTTCTGCTGGGCGGGGTGTGGAGGGACTGTGGCGCAGGGCAGGCATGGGGCCAGGAACCACTCCCCCTCCCCCCCGTTGTGGGCTGGGGAGGGGACCCAGTCTTTTGTGGCTTCCAGCCCAGGGCCGCTAGACACTGCCTCCTTTGTGCCCAGAGCAATTCAGTGGGTTTGTAAAGCAGTGCGGGGCAGACTCCATCCTGTGTGCAGAGAGCGGCACGGAGCCTGGCCATCGGCTGCCTGCTCTGCCCAGCCCCAGCTCCTAGAGGCCCCCGGCGGCAGGTGCCACCCTCTGGGTGCTGGGAGCAGCAGGTCGCAGGAGCAGGTGCTGAGGTAGCTGTAACTGCGGGCGTTGGAGCTGCCGTTTCCACGAGGTATGGGGGAGAGGTCCAGTCGGAGGACTGCGGGAGCCCCGCCTGCCCTAGCAGGTCCCCTGTCACCTCCTGTTCTGCAGGCCGCTGGTCGGGGTCCTGTGAGGGAGGGTGAGGCCTCCTGCGGTGTGCATGCCCTCCTGAGGCTGGGCATGCTGGGAGCTGCAGAGCTGCCTGCCAGGTTGGCTGGAGTGACGGGTGGGCAGTCAGAGAGGGGACTGGAGGAGTTCAGCGTGGGCTTGCCACATCTGCGTCCTGCATCAGCCGTGTCCTTGGTCTTGTCCTCTGCGTTTCGCGGGGTCCCACGGCGTGTCCCCGAGCTCTCGCACCTGCACGTGCACCTGCCCTTGCAGTCTTACTTGAAAATCTTGTTTGCCAATGTCCTAGCTTAAGGGCTGCGGATGTGGACATGGAGCCTTCTTTGCTGGCCAGGCACCGTGCCGTCCCGGGGGCCGCGCTTGCTGACGGCAGTGTGAAGGCTCAAGGGGGCAGGTGGTCCTCCGGGAGCCCTTGCCCCTGTGGGCTGGGGGTGTGGGCGCCCTCCCCGAGGCGGCTGTGGCCAGGCGCACACTGCATTCTGATGGTGGCGTCTTTGTGTGTCATGTGCGCTTGCTGGAGCTGATGCAGAGGGTGGCGGTCCCAGGCCCCAGGAGCTGCCTGCCCAGAGCCCTGTAAGTAGCTCAGAGCCCCCAGGCAGCCCTCCTGGGCTGCTGCAGCTGCTCCCCCCAGGAGGAGGACCCCACTGGGCACCGTGAGGAGAGGAACGGGGGCTCACGTCACCCCACCTTCTTGCGCTGTGCATGGTGCCCGGGGCCGGGAAGTGGAGAGCCGAGCTCTGCAAGGTGGGCGACGGCAAGGCCCTGCAGGGCCCCTCCCTGACGAATGGTGGGGCAGCTGCTCTGTGATTTTATTCTTGTGTCCAAATGAAGACTTGCTTCTCCCAAGGGACTCGTTCAAGGACCCAGTTCTCCTTTTTTTTTTTTTTTTTTTTAAATTTGTTTAGTTTAAAGATAGACTTACAAGGGGGCTGGTGCGAAGTCTCAAGGGCTAATCCTCTGCCTGCAAACATCGGTACCCTTAGGGACGTGGGTTCATGTCCCAGCTGCCCCGGCACCTACGTGGGAGTCTCCAGAAGGTTCCTGACTTCAGACTGGCTCAGCTGCAGCCATTGCAAACCAGTGGATGGACGATCCTTCTCTCTGTAAATCTGCCTTTCCACTAAATATATACGTCATGTATATATAAATCTTAAAGTTACACCTATAGACAGGAAGAGAACTGCTGTCCGTTGGTCCACTCCCCAGTGGTCCCAAAGCCTGGACTAGCCCAGGCCGAATCCGGGAAGCGGGCGCTCCTTCGGTCGCACGGACAGGGGCAGGGCCCCAAGCACTTGGGCCATCCTCAGCTGGATCAGAAGTGGAGCAGCTGAGACGTGAACCGACACCCACATGGGGTGCTGGTACCCCAGGGAGTGGCTGCACCCGTTACCCCACGTGCTGCTGCCCCCACTTTTCTTCTGTGTTGTAAAGTCCACCCCACGGGTCTGCAGTTGCTAGGGTGACGTGTTTCCCACGTGGCCGTCGTGTGTCCCTGGTCTCATGAGCCGTGGACCTGCCCTCCTCCAGCTGCTCGCCCCTGGGCGTTGGAGGGGAGGCAGGTTCCCAGCACGTCTGGGCGGGCGGGTCCCCGTGAGACAGCCTTTGTAAGGCTGCGTCAGGAGGCGAGCTCCGGGGAACCAGCCGCCCAGGTACTGAGTGACGCGGAATAACCTGTGTCGGGTAGCGGGGCAGGAAAGGTGAGGGCGGGGCCGGTGCCCAGCCCGGGAGGCTGGCATACCGACACCTGTGCTGTCAGGGCACGGTTCCCGGCTGGGCTCAGAGGAACACTGGGTCTCCCCCAAGCTTGGGGACAGAGCTTGGGGACAGCCGTCTCCCCTCCCTCAGGGGTCTCCTCACACCCTCCACCGCAGGTCCCCCCTGCCGCGTGGATGCCCAGCTGCGACACGGGGTGGCGAGGGTGGCAGTAGGCTGTAGTGCTAGCGTTTGTCCCTGGCCCGCCGGAGTGCACACACACCATCCCAGCTCAGGAGGGTGTGGGCGGCTGGATGGGCTGGGGCGGGGTCCCCAGGGGCCGCCCCGCCCTGGGTGCCCTGGTGTGCATGTGGAGTCAGGATCCTGTGTGTCATCCTGACACTCACACTCAGGGTGAACCCGTGCCAGGCTGCTGCCAGGCTCCCGAGCCAGCCTGTCCTGGGTGAGGCCTGAGCCAGCAGCTGTGGTGTGAGGTCGGGCCAGGTGCAGTGAGGCCGGGGTCTGTGGGGCAGCCTTGGAGCGGACGCCCGGTGGGTTCCAGGCCTCAGCCCCTTCCCAGGCAGCGCTGGCCACCAAGCCTTGGCTTTGTTCTTTGCAGGAGAGGCAGGGTCTCCCCTCTCGCTGCAACCTGCAGGAGTGCCCCTGTAGGACGTGGGTTCCCTGCTGGGCAGCAGGTGGCTGGGCAGGCCAGGCTGGGCCTGGTGGGGTCTACGGGCTCCAGGGTCTCCAGCTGCCTGTCCTGTCCTGGCCCCTGGGCAGCGCGTGTGTGACCAAGTCCTGCCTCCTCCTCCAGGGAGCCCGCCCGTCATGTTAAGGGAAAGCAGCGCGGCTCGGTGCTGAACATGCTCAGACGACTGGACAAGATCCGGTTCAGAGGTCACAAAAGAGAGGACTTCCTCGATCTCGCCGAGTCCCCCAACGCCTCGGACACCGAATGCGGAGACGAGATCCCCGTGAGGATCCCGCGGACCTCAACCCGCGACAGCGAGGAGCTCCGGGACCCCGTGAGTGCCCCCCCAGCCGAGCGGGCCTGGGCGCTGCCCGCCTCATCCTGCCTCACACCTCCCTGCCTGGCCGGGCCTGCGTGCCCAGAGCGTGTCCTGCAGCTGCATTTTGCCAGCTCCGTTAGTCTGTTTTGTTTTATTTTTGTGTCTGGCAAACTGTTGACGCGGAAGTGACCCCTGGGAGTCTCGGCCCAGGGATGGGCATGGGCAGGGAGCTTCTGTGCCCATATGTGCGTCCCTAACCCCTGATGGCTGACCACGCTCTCCTGTCATGCTGTGACAGCAAATGCAGCGAAGCCCTTGCAGCCAAAGCATAGGCCCCGCCTTCCAGAAGGTTGTAACGCAATCAGGCACCAAGTGGCTCTCCAGGGCTCCTGCCTAGCCAGGTGGGACCTCTGGGCTTGCTGCTGTGGGCACACCTGCTCAAGGCTTCTCCGCTGCCATCCCTAAGCCATCCTGTGCCAGGTGTGGGTGACCCACCCTGCCACTTCCTGTGCCGGCCCTGGAGCCGGTGTGGACAGCCCAGGTGGGCAGTGAGCCCCACCCTGCCACTTCCTGTGCCAGCTCTGGAGCTGGTGTGGGCAACCCAGGTGGGCGGTGAGCCCCGACTCTGCCACTTCCTGTGGCGGCTGTGGAACCGGTGTGGGCAGCACAGGTGGGTGGTGAGCACCCACCCTCCTGGCTGCTGGTGTCAATTGGTTGTGTGTCTGCTCCAGCAGGAATGAATAATTTACTGCCTGGCCTCCGGGGAGCCTGGCTGCTGCACACGTGGGTGGATGCCTGCTTCCTGCAGAGAGCAGTGGGTGCCCTTCAGATGCCCGTCTCTGGCCTCAGGGTGCCCGGACTGCCTTGGCAATCCCCTGTCCCCTACACGTGTGCCCAGCCCTTCAGCCAGGGAGCTTGAGCTGGGCTGCCCTGCCTCCTGCTCTGCTGCTCTGTCACTGTTAGCAGGGTGGAGGTGTGGCTGGGCCTGGAGCTGGCCCTCCCTCTGCGTGTGCTGTGTCTAAGAGGTCGGGCTGCCTCCCGGGCCCCGGCGCCTGCCCCACGCCCACGCCACAGGGCCGTCCCCTGCCTCCCTGTGCATCTGACCAGCTCACCTGCCTGCCCTCACATACAGCTGCTGGCCTAGCAGGGACTGAATAGTTTTTAATTTAACTCAATTTTATTTTATGTTTAATATTGCTTACATAGTTCAGAAGGATACGTGTCCATGTCGGTCTCTGATCAAAGTGGAGTATGGAGGAAGGGGCGTAGGACAGATATTTTAATTTTTTTTTTTAAATCTGCAGTGGGGAACACGAGGGGGCTACTTTTTGCCATCCTGTTCTGCCCTTTTGATGAGGCACTTGATGTGTGGGGGTGGAGGACTGCTGGGCCGGGGGGAGAGGTGTGGGCAGAAGTGGGCAGTGGAGTCCGTATCTAAGTGACCGCCACCACGAGAAGTGGAGGGGTAAGAAATGGGACAGGGTCCCCAAGGGTGCTGCGAGCCCCAGAGGACCGGGCTCCGGCTTGCTTCTGATGGGGAGGGGGCTGGGCCACCCTGCAGGCCTCAGTGTGCGTGGACGGAGCCCCCCCGCGCCCCGCCCCAGTTCCCCGAGCAGCCTTGGGATGGCTCCCGAGCAGGGGTCCCTTACCCAGGGAACTGCTGTCTGTCTGCCTGTCCGACTGCCTCTTCCACCAAGGGACCCTGTGGATGCCTGCGGGGTGCACAGCCTGGGGACTGCTTTAGGATTGCACCCCCCCCCCCCACATTGGACAAATAAGGAGGCTAAAGTCGTGGTAGCTTAAGTCACACCGTGAGGTGGTGGCGGGCCCAGACCACATCTGGGCTGGGGCCCCCAGCCTCCGCCAAGCCTGCAGCCTCCTTGCTTGCTTGCTCCTGCCTGCGTTACAGGTGGCTTGCTAGGACTTGGTGTTTCCTGCGGGCACAGAGCACTCTCTGAGGAGGGTCCCTTCTGACCACCCGTCCTCCGGCTGGCCGTGTGGGGGTAGGGCGAGGGCTGCTGGCTTGCCCCCCGCCTTTTCACGTGGTGGCACTGCGGCTCTGACCTGTTCACGTCTCTCCTGGTGGGCGGTGCTGGCTGCCTGCTTCCTCGTGGCCTGGGGCACGTGGCTGGTCTGACGCCCACGCAAGGGTGTGCAGACAGGGATGAGTCTGGGCCTCGAACCAGCCCAGGTAGGAAGCAGAAAGCAGGGAATGGGTGTGCCACCCTGCAGAGCAGGTCAGGTGAGGACAAGGAGGGTTCAGACAGGAGCCAAGTGCCAGCCAGTGTCATTGCCCAGTGGCTAGAGCTGCCCAATGTGGTGAGTGGGTGAGGGTGAACTGGTACTGAGTAGCTGGAAATTGTGAAAATCTGTGCAAGAAAAGCGAGCTGAACATTCTGCTCAGGCGAACAGGGCAGTCCTCTCGTGACCCCTTCAAAATGCACCACCGTCACCTCCTCCAGGTGGGCCCCCCAGCTTCCTCCCCCAACCCCCACTGGAGGATCTGAGCAACTTTGGCCATCCCGTGTGAGAGGCAAGGGCCGGGCAGAGCCTGGCTCGGGGCTGGTGACGCTTGGCACAGAGGGTGTGTGGGCAGTGGGGCTGCACCGTGTGCGAGCCGCCCTCATGGGGCCTCTGGGGAGTTCTGCCTGGCTTAACGCCTTCCTGGGGCTTGAGGCTGATGTGCTTTGAGGCAAGACACCTGATCAGCTCCTTGGGGACCACTTTTTTCCCGAATGGCTGCTGGGGACTCCTCTGGGGCAGGTCTGTGTGTCGGATGTCCACTTGCCGTGGGGACCAAGCAGATGCACTGACGCTGGCCGTGGCCCACCGTCGGGGCAGTGTCTGTCCTGCTGGCTCACTGCTGGTCCCTGTCCCCTGGGAGCCTGAGCAGTTGCATGAGCCTTGGAAGGCCAGCTCCGGGTCAGGACAGGCCTGTGGTCGGCTCAGCAGGCTCTGGCTGCCCTGCCAGCTGCTCCTTCCTGGCTGTGCCCTCAGAGCAGGTGACAAGTGTGTGTGTGTGAGAGAGCGCCTGGCCCCACCCAAGCCAGGAGCGCCTTAGCTGACCCTGCAGGAAGGTGAGGAGGTGAGAACGCGGTGGCTGGCAAGCCCCTCTTGCTCTCCTGGACAGATGGCAGCGGGATGCGGCCTGACTATGCGGGCCGGGACCCCTCTCTTTCCCTCCTGTCAGCAGGCTACGTGGCGGCTGCCTGTGCCCAGCCCCCAGGGGCACAGAGGGCCAGCGCTGCTTGTAACTGGAGCCTGCCCTTGGCTCGTGGGTACGGGGCTGTGGCTTAGGGCTTAGTCAGCCCTCATGGAACTCCACTTGGAGTTTGTAGGAAGTCCGTGTCACCTGGGACCCCTGGGTGGCCTGACACGACTTACGTGGGCCCAGCTCCCTCCTCATCCGGCCGGGGCCCAGCTGCGCATTGTGTCCTGGCGGCCAGTGCTGGCGATGCCCTCCATGGGTGGAGCGGGGTGCCCCGGCCACTTCCGCTGAGTCTGCCATTTCCCTTCCAGGCTGGTCCAGGGACCCTCATCATGGCTACAGGCATCCAGGACTTCAGCCGGACAGAGTATGATCGGCTTAACGAGATCAAAGGTCACCTAGAAATCGCCCTGCTGGAGAAACACTTCCTGAGTGAGTGCCTGGGGCTGTGGCATGGGCGAGGCGGGGTGGGGCCTAACGGCGGGGAGCCGGGCTGACCAAGAGCTGTGATGCACCGTCCCTTGACGCCCGGGGAGGGACAGGTGTGGCCTGCCCATGTGGCCCGAGTCCCTGCCTTCCTCCTGCTGTGGTCCCTAGCCCGTCTTTGAGAGCTGAAGGCTCCATGGCAGTTGTGATGGGCCGACTCAGGCCTTGTCAGCAGCTCTCGAGGAGTTGGACGCTTTGTCTTTGCTCTGTGGCTCGGGGAGCAGCGGGACGTGTCGTCCGTCTGCCCTCTGCGCGTGCGCCTCTCTTGTTGGGAGCCGTGGGGATGGTGGCGGTGCTATCCTCTCTTCTCCCTTTTGGCCTGCAAGCTCTGTGGGAAAATACACCTGGAGCATTTGCTCTAGTGCCCCCCAGCCCAGGGGTCACCTGGTTGTGCCAGGCAGACCTCACCCACAGGGTGCGTGGCACTTTCACTGCTCATGCTTGGGGGAGGGGGTGGCTTTCTGCAGGCATCAGTCCCTCTGGTCTGCGAGGAGCAGCGCCCCGGCCTGGAGGAAGGGCCTACCTGTACGGAGCAGCCCCCGGCCTGGGCAGGGCCGAAGGCACCTGGGACAGGCGGCCTCTCTGGGCATCCCACCCAGCTGGGCTCTGTCTGCATCCAACAGCTTCTTGGCCTCAGGGGGTTGCAGTCTGTGGGCACCCATGCCTTTGCCGGGTGCACCTTGTTGACTGGTCTGGGGTCTGCCTGGCCTAGGGCCTGCTTGGGCAGCCCTGAGTGGACGGGAGGGTGGGTGCAAGTTTCCCGTGCCAAGTGCCACCCCAGCGGGAAGAGGCCTTGCCTTTCCTGACGGGAGCCTGGGCCAGACATTGGGCCTCGCCTTGGCCTTCCTGCTGAGAGGTGGGGAGGGGTCAGCCAGGGCGCCTGCCTGGGCTTCCACCTGCTGTGCCTGTGGGGCTGGGAGCTGGCTGCCCGTTTCCATGCCCACCTGATGCCCAGGAGTGGCCCACAGGGCACTGGCTGGTGACACCTGCATGCATGCACATTGAATGTGTGTACGTGCAGCAAAACTTCAGTTTCATGTGTGTGTCCCAAATGCATGTGTGCACGAGTGTGGGCCTGTGTGCACAAGGGAGTGTGCACATACGTGTGTGAACCTGTGTGTGCGTGTGTGGGCCTGTATGTGCACGAGTGTGTGCACATACGTGTGTGGGCCTGGCGTGCAGAGCTTGAACTCTGAGGACGACAGTGCAGGGGCAGAAAGAGCAGCTGTAAGCAGGATGCTTCACATTACTGCTTGGCAGCTCACAGGGTGCAGGTGTAGAATCTGTGGGGAGGTAAGTGTGTGCACAGTGGCAGAGGTGAGCGTGTGCATGGAGGTGGGGGAGGTGAGCGTGTGCACAGTGGGGGAGGTGAGCGTGTGCACTGGGGAGTGGTGTGCAGGAGGTGGGGAGGTGAGCGTGTGCACAGTGGGGGAGGTGAGTGTGTGCACAGTGGCAGAGGTGAGCGTGTGCATGGAGGTGGGGGAGGTGAGCATGTGCACAGTGGGGGAGGTGAGCGTGTGCACTCTGGGGGAGGTGAGTGTGTGCATGGAGGTGGGGGAGGTGAGTGTGTGCACGGTGGGGGAGGTGAGTGTGTGTACAGTGGGGGAGGTAAGTGTGTGCACAGTGGCAGAGGTGAGCGTGTGCAGGAGTGGGGGAGGTGAGCTGTGCACAGTGGGGGAGGTGAGCGTGTGCACAGTGGGGGAGGTGAGCGTGTGCACTCTGGGGAGGTGAGTGTGTGCATGGAGGTGGGGGAGGTGAGTGTGTGCATGGAGGTGGGGGAGGTGAACGTGTGCACAGTGGGGGAGGTGAGCGTGTGCACGGTGGGGGAGGTGAGCGTGTGCACAGTGGGGGAGGTGAGCGTGTGCACGGTGGGGGAGGTGAGTGTGTGCACAGTGGGGGAGGTGAGCGTGTGCACGGTGGGGGAGGTGTGACGGGTGAGCGTGTGCACAGTGGGGAGGTGAGCGTGTGCACGGTGGGGAGGTGTGTGCACAGTGGGGGAGGTGAGCGTGTGCACAGTGGGGGAGGTGAGCGTGTGCACAGTGGGGGAGGTGAGTGTGTGCACAGTGGGGGAGGTGAGTGTGTGCACGGAGGTGGGGGAGGTGAGCGTGTGCACAGTGGGGGAGGTGAGCGTGTGCACAGTGGGGGAGGTGAGGGTGGAGGGCGTGTGTGCACGTGGGGAGGTGACGTGTGACGAGGTGGGGAGGTGAGCGTGTGCAGAGTGGGGGAGGTGAGTGTGTGCATGAGTGGGGGAGGTGAGCGTGTGCACAGTGGGGAGGTGAGTGTGCACAGTGGCAGGTGAGCGTGTGCACAGTGGGGAGGTGAGTGTGCACAGTGGGGGAGGTGAGCGTGTGCACAGTGGGGGAGGTGAGCGTGTGCACGGAGGTGGGGGAGGTGAGCGTGTGCACAGTGGGGGAGGTGAGCGTGTGCACAGTGGGGGAGGTGAGCGTGTGCACAGTGGGGGAGGTGAGTGTGTGCACAGTGGGGGAGGTGAGTGTGTGCATGGAGGTGGGGGAGGTGAACGTGTGCACAGTGGGGGAGGTGAGTGTGTGCACGGAGGTGGGGGGGTGAGCGTGTGCACAGTGGGGAGGTGAGCGTGTGCACAGTGGGGAGGTGAGCGTGTGCACAGTGGGGAGGTGAGCGTGTGCACAGTGGGGGAGGTGAGTGTGTGCACAGTGGGGGAGGTGAGTGTGTGCACAGTGGGGGAGGTGAGCGTGTGCACAGTGGGGGAGGTGAGCGTGTGCACAGTGGGGGAGGTGAGCGTGTGCACAGTGGGGGAGGTGAGCGTGTGCACGGAGTTGGGGGAGGTGAGCGTGTGCACAGTGGGGAGGTGAGGTGTGCACAGTGGGGAGGTGAGCGTGTGCACAGTGGGGGAGGTGAGCGTGTGCACGGTGGGGGAGGTGAGCGTGTGCACGGTGGGGGAGGTGAGCGTGTGCACGGTGGGGGAGGTGAGCGTGTGCACGGTGGGGGAGGTGAGTGTGTGCACAGTGGGGGAGGTGAGCGTGTGCACAGGCAGTGCGATCCCCACCCTGGCACCTCTTCCCTATGACGTCTTAGGGTGCGTCCACACCTGCATCCGAGTTTTCCATCTGCAATAACCCGGTGGGCGGCTCTGGCTTCCCACGGCCAAGCCGTGTGTCCAGTGTCAGCTCTGGTGCACCTGCGCGCTCCCCTGTCGCCTGACTTGGTCGTGCCCTGCCCTGCTAGCTCCTGCCCTCTCTCCCTGGATCGGCACCCATAGGAGGCAGGCCACCTGCTTCATGTCCAGTGCCTTTTTGCCGTTGGTGGCTGGGTCATCTGCTGGCTGCCATGTGGTGTGGACCCCGCTGAAGGCACCTGCTGGCCCTGTTTCTCACCGGTGATGATGGCGGATGTCTTTGGATTGTTCTCCCCAGGCAGGCCGTCCAGTGCTGCGCCCTGCTTGCTGTTGCAGCCGCCTTTCTCCAGAGCTGTTGCTGACTTGGATTTTCGGGCTCTGGTGTCTTGCTGTAGTGGGGCTGAAGGTCCTGGGCTCCTGTCGGGCAGAGACACTGTTGCTGTGTGTGAGTCTCATGCTATGGGGCCTGCATGGTTCTGCTGCTGAGCCTGTCCCCCCGCCCCTCACCATGATGGCCTCCAGGTCCTTTAGCCGCACACATCCTGCCCCAGAACTGGCATTGGCATTCCCAGAAAAGTTGGCTTTCATGCTGAAGAGCAGAGCTTGGTGGCTGAATGAGCAGCCTGGGTCATGTACGGTTGCCACTTGGCTCCTGTGCAAGGACCCCTAGAGTTCAGAGGGCAGCCACGTCCGGGAGTCCCTGGAGTTTAGAGGGCAGCCACGTCCGGGCGTCCCTGGAGTTCAGAGGGCAGCCACGTCCGGGAGTCCCTGGAGTTCAGAGGGCAGCCATGTCCGGGAGTCCCTGGAGTTCACAGGGCAGCCACGTCCGGGAGTCCCCGAAGCCCCTCGGTCTCCGCTCAAGCTCCCCCAGCACTGCCCCATGTGTCTGTGTGTAGGGTCTGGATTCTTCGCTGTGGCGTTGGCATCATCTGCTTGCTGTGTCCTTCGGCAGTGTCACACCTCCTGGGTACAGTTCCAGCTAGACAGCCAGACCCCGCTGGTGTTTCTGCTCTTGCCTGGAGGGGTCCCCCTGGAGAGGCACTGCCGCGGGGTCCCCCTGGAGAGGCGCTGGCCTGGAGGGGGTCCCCCTGGAGAGGTGCTGGCCATGGGGTCCCCCTGGAGAGGCACTGGCTTAGAGGGGTCCCCCTGGAGAGGTGCTGGCCTGGAGGGGTCCCCCTGGAGAGGTGCTGGCCATGGGGTCCCCCTGGAGAGGTGCTGGCCATGGGGTCCCCCTGGAGAGGCGCTGGCCTGGAGGGGTCCCCCTGGAGAGGCGCTGCCGCGGGGTTCCCTGGCTGCCCTGCAGGGGCCTTTCCCACTCTCTGTCAATGTGATGTCAGAGCCGTTACTTCTCACATTCAGTTTTTAGAGATGGCTTTTTTCCCCCTTTTGAAAATTTTGACATAATTTCAGACTTACAGGAAGGCTACAAAAATAGTACAAAGAATGCCTTTATTTTTTTCATCCAAGTATTCCTCGAAAGTCATGCATTTATGTATAACTTTCACATTTAGGGCTGCCTCTGTGCTCCATCTGTTATTCCACGTATCCGTCCGTCACCGTCCACGCAGCCGTCATCCTCCCGCCCACTGTTATTCCACGTATTCCCCCACACATCCATTCACTCCACTGTCTTTCCGACCTCCTTTTCATGTGTCCATCTTGGTGCCTGTCCGCCCTTCCTTTTTTTTTAAAGATTGATTTTTATTGCAAAGTCAGATATACAGAGAGGAAGATCCTTTGTGTATTGATTCACTCCCCAACAATGGCTGGAGCTGAGCTGATCTGAAGCCAGAAGCCCAGAGCCTCTTCCGGGTCTCCCACATGAGTGCAGGTCCCAAGGCTTTGGACTGTC